CAGGCAAAGTAGGCGTTTGTCGTCTGCTTCACAGCCCGTTTTATACCCGATATTTAGGGACATTTCGCAGCACATATAAGTTGTTTTTATCGACAGAATTCATTCATAGATCTCAAATTTTATGTACAGAGTGTCAAAAGCCACACCTCTGCTCCCCTTTAAGATCGAAACAAATGGTTGACACTGAGTATATCAGTGTTCTTGTCAAACAAGGGACTTTTTACGGCGAGATAAACTGTCGGTTGGCCTTTCATTATCCGAGCATGGCGGGATTTCTGAAAGAATCATGCGACGATTCTGTAATCTTCGTGGTATACACAATCTAATAACTTTGAAGTGGGTTGCATTGCAAATGAGGCAGTCTGTGAACAAAATTACGGGACTAAAACATTGCACGTTCCAACACCAACTCCAAAATATTATATTACTCAACACTTTCAAGCACTGAAGGGGATAACACGTGTGAATAATAATGACAAAGTTTCAACCAATTGTGTGATTGGAATATAGTCACGTGACTTCCAAACTACCGGTTGATTAATGCCCCCCCCGGGGGGTCACTTTATATGCCGTGACTATCCCATGTGCGTTCCAAATTTAGCGGGGAAAGGGGTGTTTTTCACCTTCTAAAGCGGGTCCGCGTAAGAGGCAAATAGGCCCCCTTTAAAATTCTAATGCCCGCAATATGCCCTCGGGAATAAACTCACAGGGTTGCTGCGCCCCCTGTAGGCCCCCTCTTGCAACAACCACTTCCACACAACGTCCTAGGCCATAGCTTGTTTGAGTTGATCACATCCCACTTGAGTGAAAAAAAAAACGGCAGAGGATGCTCGCAATATATGTCTGCAATAGGGCCCGGGGGTATTTTTTTCTTCAATATGTCTGCTCTAGGGGATACTAAATTTACAGTGCGCCCGCAATAGGGAGTATGGTTTGGTAATGTGCTGCCAGCCCTAGGGCCTATTATTTTTTAGCAAGAAAGCACATGGTGTAAGGTTTTAATATAGAGTGACCCCCAGGGATTAATGAATGGTTGAATCGCCACGCGGGAACGCGACATTGTGTTCGTTACTTTTGATGTCTAATTATGCAAAAATCTTCTCACGCTGCCTCAAAATATAAAACGTACCCTAAAATAACTCACTCGTCTCCAAACTTATTCTGTCTTTCATTTTCTAGATAGACAACAAACTTTCGTTACGGACACTGGAAAATGTTACTAGTCCATAGTGTACATTGCAGGTCACCCATGTGCACGAGATCATCATGTACACGAAGCGTGGGAAGATAACTGACTGAATACATTGTCGATTCCACTTGCCATTGATCTATTATTAATTTCGTTGGGCTCGTAACAGTACCCCCCTAGCGTGTCAATAAAATTAACAGCCTCAAATTGAAAATTTTGATTTTCGTTGATAATTTTAAAATCCTATTTTTGAAATGGCGATTATATATGTATATTCATTTATTTATTCTAATTATAATGTAAGGAATTACCATATTTTCACGCACATACATGTACATTGGTGCCGACTTACCTATCATGGTGGCATGTAGTTATTAGCAGGAAAACATACAGTCTAATAAAATTCTTTCTAACATGTTTTTATTCCTGCAAATTAACTGTACACGCACGTGCATTATGCATGGTCCCGGAAGATAACAGACGCCCCACAGCTGGTCTGACTACACGATTAGATTAGGATTAAATAAAGGATGTCACAAGATGAAGGTGACCTTACGATGATGCAATTGTCCGCATTTTGCTGTATTATAATCGAGCATATACAATCATAATACATGTCGTATGGACAAGGCAAAATAATCCGCTTTAAGATTGATGTTACGACCGTTTATTTCATTTATTGTCAAACGTATGTTAAATTTATTGTTGGACTTACCAGCGTTGCAATCATTCGTTGTTGTATTATGGCGTCCGTGGTGTGGATGATGTTATTTTCATTATTACGTTAAAACGATAACGTAGTGATTTTAATTACATTGTATTCGGGTGTGAAATATACTTAACCGCTTCAAAACACGTATATTATTAACGGGATGCATTAAATAGCATAATATGTTTAAATATAATTAAGTAAAGGGTGCAAGCTACAACGTGCAAGTTATTTTACAGCCTGTATTTAAGGGCATGAAATCAATGTGTTGTGCACGCCATGCATGTATAAACAAATGTCTGAAAGTTAACCAACTATAACTGATTAATAAAAATGGATTCCAATAATCATAAGAAAATAAAGAAGAAAATGTTATAATGTAATGTTAGTCGCGACACAAATCATTTGTTCTCAAATGTACAAATAATAAGTCAAAAGAAAGATGTGTTTTTATTAAACGTGTTTAAGACGGGTGTATTTAAAGGGCCGTGGTCGTCGCGCAACGCCCCGTACGACATGGACACCATGTACTTCAAACACGCGCTGGTCACAAGGCATATATGACAATTATTTTATAGTAAATATAAACTACTTGATTTCCACAATGTCCAGAATGTAATGAGAATGAAAGCAAATCTATATTTATGTGCTAATACAAAACAATGTGTTTAATATTGATCCAAAGTGACTAATATCATGTGAAAGGTTTGCAAATTGTATATCTGAAAAGCTATTAAAACGATTGCATTATTTTTTTAGTTAAATATTAAAATTAGATGTGATTGTTGACGTCCCTTCAAAATCAAATTCGAAATCAAAAGAATGAGAAGCGACTATATTATAACTTTACGTATTTTAATATATATTCAAATTTTCACTCAGTTTTTTGAATATGTGTCCTGATACATTCACACCATGTATTCAACTAGCTGTTGAAATGAACATTGAAAAGTATAAAAAATACTAATGAAACCTGATGTATTACGAACCAAGTACAGATAACCATAAGAACACTATGGTTTAGAAGTTACATCTGCCCATCATCTGTTCTTATTCGTATATTAACGTGTTTTGAAGTATATCTTTCATTTTTAGCGAACGTTCGACGAATTATGATAAATACAATAATTTTCAGGGATTTTTTATTCTTTCCAACCAAAAATTGTCAGTTCTGTTCTCCAACTAAGCAGGGTCTATTACAAACAAACTTAATACACACATTTTCCAGGTTAGTACTTATTATAACAGTACGAGTTACAACGAGGTACTTTGGTTCTCTATATTTTAACACTGTACGTTTAAGACTCACCATTACTATTATTGCAATATTCTAAACGTGCAAACACAAAAAAGCATGGGAAAGCGACATATGTTTTTAACACGGTGTATACACGTGATTTCCTGTTATAAAACAAGGATTGAGCCGGTTTACCACAAGTCTTCGAACCACTTACGCAAGTAGCGTCACTTCGCGACGACGAGCACACATAATGTTACCTGTAACAATGGGAGGCGATCGTGGTAAAGCGGAAAAGAAAAGCAGCCGCACTAGAATATGTGCAACGTTGATTCCTATTGTGCTAGCATGTTGCATTATAGGGAGTACTGGTGAAAACGTCGAGATGTCGAGGCCCCTGCAACAGTTGCCTGCCGTTGACGAAGATATACATGTTACCAATGAAGAATCGGGTGGGTTGCTTCCAACGACATTGGAACCATACCACTACAAAGTGTGGCTTCAGCCATATTTCACGGAGTCGAAAGACGGATCAAAATTTCTCGATCTAGACGGTAAAGTTGATATTTATTTTAACTGTATTGAGGATACTCGCAATATTACAGTTCATCACGAGTACATGACAATTTTAAAATACGAACTTTATGACATTAGTGGCGAGGTGGATAAACTCCTTCAAACAGAAAGCAACACTACGATCACTGGGTGGGATTGGTACATCATAACCTCAATGGGTTCCTTGCAAGCTGGGGTCAATTATCGCTTATATATGGAATATGTGGGTACTGTGAATCATCTCGACAACTTTGGTTTCTACATGGGTACATATACAGAAGACGCGATCGTCAAGTAAGTGCCTTACTCCAATATTTATAAATATGCTTATTAATAAGCAATCCTCTTCATTGAAGTATTTTTATCTTTAAAAATAATAATCTTAACGAATCAAGACATATAGTAAAATTAGCTATCTAATAAAATAATCAAACATATCGTAATCAATCATAGCATTTTTGTATATTTTCTTTATTAAATTCTTTAGAAGTTTTCTTCAATACAATAACCTTTCACTAATAACAGTTCAGGAGATGTTTGTTATTAGTGACACCGACAGTGATGTAAATTCGTGTGTCTATAATCAGTCTTATCTACACCCTGGCTAGCCAAAAGGCATTCCCCATGTACAATTTGTACTTATGGAATTAAAAAGACGCCGGGTCACTTTCTAAGGATTTCTTTAACTTGGTGCCGGCCAATTGTAGCATATTAACGTAAGCGCGTGATGAAATTGCGAAATTTCTAGATATGAAGTCGATATGATATGAAGTATAAACACATTGTATAATGATTTGCATAGTACAACGACGCCATGGTGTTATATCTAACGGGTTGTCCGGTTCCAAAGTACATTAGATAAGCGATCGAGAATGCAATAATCGAATCAATTTCATCATTGTGTGAGTTGGGTCATACAAATAAGGACACATTTTTGAACACGCGTCATTGTTTATTTAGGGCATGTCGATTAGAGAGAAGAGGGAACATCAGTCAGCGACATGCGCACTGACGGAAAGAAATATTTACATCTTAGATAATTACCATAACAATATGCAAGACATGATATCAATTATCTTTGGTAACACATTGTAGCGCTGCGGCATTAAACATTGAAAGGTAAAAACGTTCCAGAACTCACTATTTAAATGTGATTGACGCATGCGCGTATCACATTGATCTCATTATCTGCGTTAATGGTAGACAACTATAAGTAGGTTAAAAAATAATTAAAATAAGAATTTGCATAAATTTGCGGATCTTCATCAAGAATCCAAGTCACGTGTATACGATTACTCAGAAATACGAACTGGCAAGTTAAACCGAGATCGAGAGTTACAGTAATTCGGACATATTACCCCTAAAAACTATACAAGCATTCGTTGGTTCACGTTATAACAGACTCGAAAACGCACGCATTGTATCAATTCAGAATGTAAATACTGTACACATTTGAAGATCTCAAATACTATGGGAATGGTTAGCTTTACCTGGCTAGTATTTATTCCGATTTTTTGTTTATATATTTATTTGTAGGACGTTTGTTGCTAGTCAATTTGAAGCAATCGCCGCCCGTAGAGCCTTCCCTTGTTTTGATGAGCCAGCTTATAAGGCAACGTTCGACACCGCGTTAGTGTACAGACCGGAATACGTGGCACTGTCCAATACGTATTCCATTTTAAACGACACCTACTATGATCCGAACACCGATGAAGTGTGGAGTGTTACCTACTTTGGTACAACCGTCAAAATGTCCACTTATCTGAACGCCTACACTGTGGGTGACTGGGCATGTGTGCAAAGTACTACACGTAATGGAATAGATGTAAGTAATATAATTGCCTCACTTTAATTTAGGAAGTTATAACCGGTAGCAGGTAATACCGTGAGTGATCTTCCGTCTCATGTACATCATGTGAAGCCATGTATATGCCATGTAGTATTCTATGCTACTTTGTGATTTGTCAAGAGCTTTGATGTATGCGCGTAATGGCGCAAAGTGACTATATTATATGGTCATATAATGTATGAATTGATGTAAATATTTCCATATTGTGATTGTTACGTTGTCACATCCATTTTATGTGGTATTTATTTTATCAGCTCCGAATATGGTGCCAGCCCTCGTTGCTTTATCAGGCGGAATACGCATTGAACGTTGGAATGGTACAGCTTAGTAATTTTGAAGATCTTTGGAATATTCCATATCCAATGGCAAAAATGGGTAAGAAACATAAACTCATATGTGAACACGTAATAAATAATGTAGACGCTACATGTATTCTTTTCTCAAGTACTGTAATGTTTTGCCATACATTATTGCTATTTGTAGATATGTCTGCGCTACCTGTATTCTCATCTGGCGCGATGGAAAACTGGGGTCTGGTCTTTTACAGAGAAAACTATTTACTCTACAGCATTGAAGCGGGGCACACACCAGACCGGAGGAAAGACGTGGCACAAGTTATCGCTCATGAACTTATACATCAGGTAATGATTAAAATAGGTAAATTACATCACAGAGGCGATTTATCTAATATTTATATAAATAAAAACCAACATTTCGAGTGTGTTCGTTTCAGTGGTTTGGGAATTTGGTCACAATGGAGTGGTGGAGTCATCTATGGCTGAATGAAGGATTTGCTACATATTTCGAATACGTGGGTACACACTGGGTGGAGCCGGGTTTCGAAATGGTAAGTGTTTGTCATCAAATGTATTCAAGATGTATTCAAATATGTACACTCATTAGATATCTCAGGTCATACGTATTATTGTTTTGTGTTGCAGTTTGAGCAATTCTTCCAGACGGAAGCGCAATATGGCACTTTCCAGTCAGACCAACAGGGCGATTCCCATCCGCTTATAATGGATGTTGCACCGAATGATGCAAATAGCATGTTCAACGCTATGACGTATTTGAAGGTGAGAATTCTAATTTTATCATCAGTATTTTTATTTTAGTAATTGAATATATATTCTCACCAATGAGCGAGAGTTATATGACATGATACTTTAAATGTTTATAGGGAGGATGCATAATCAAGTTAATGGATGGATTTGTTGGAGTGGATCTGATGTTTGAAGGTTTCCGCAATTATCTTAATCAATTTTCCTACGACAATGCCGTGTCTGACGATTTGTGGGCAGCTTTGACACAGGTAAGCGATTAAAGTAACTCCTAAAATTACCAGTTTAATTGGCGTATCGAATGCAAAACATTTGAACTTCTAAGAATGTATGTATGTTTCTACCAAAAAAATGATTTTTTTTCTAAGGTAAGCAATGTAAGCAATTGGGAAAGTGGTGTTAACAAATGCATTATTTCAATTAATATGCAATTATCAAATGAAAAACAAAAATATAACTGTGTGTTTCTTTACGTTATTTAATTCCATCCACCACCAGACGATAGAACTGGACATGGGAGGAAACATGAAAGATATTTTCGGATATAATATGAAAGAACTTATGGATCCTTGGACTTTACAAATGGGATTCCCCGTTGTGAATCTCACTCGAACATCGACCACTGCTATACAAGCCGATCAGGGACACTTCTTAATAGACCCAAACGACGTAGTAGAAGATGAAGAATATGGAAATTTAGGGTAAGAAATGCTCTAAATCTTCCAATGTCATTGTCCAATGTGTTTTCAAATTCATAAAATACATCTCTAGGTGATAAATACGTTTCAATAATCGAAGAGGAATTGTAGTTTTTGGCGCTTGATATTGTTTTATAAAATATTTCGGACATTGTTTATCAGTCCAGCGACATGTATGCGAATAATTATATATATTTTTGCGTACTACGAATACTAGAGATTGTGACCGTTTGTCTTCGCTCATTTCAGTTTGAACTACTCGATTGCTTTTTTTGTGAATACAATATGGTATATATGTGACGTATTCAGTTTGTTTGTTTGTTGTTTTGTGTCTTCACAGATATGTATGGCATGTACCATTAACATTCACCCACAAAACTGAACAATTGTTTACCAATCCGAACATGGAATGGCTCCATTTAACATCCGGTGAGTACGGATATTATATTTGGTAGCGTATTCAAAAGTATTGCGTCATGTATGTATGCGACTTTGGAATTTTAGTCTTCAATGTCGGTAAAGATATTTCTTAAAACATGAACGAAAGCTTGCATTAGGTAATTGAGACAGACAACTACACATCGGAATAAGTGCAGGCGTGTATGAAAAGTGCATATTTGTGTGGACATTCTGTAAATATATTACAAGAAAACATACAAGTGACTTTCTCTAATTGTTGATGTTTTTGTTCCTAATGTAGCGGTGCTGACATTGGATGGCGCCACTGATAATGATTGGTATATTGCTAATATCAACCAGACTGCTCTGATACGGGTTAACTATGACGTAGACAATTGGGGAAAACTCACTCAACAATTATTAGTCGACTATAAGGTAAAGATAACAAATATGTTTTAAAAAGTATGCGAGATATATATACTTACTTGGTATAATCACTACATTTAAATTGTTTATTATTCTAGGCACTCCCTGTAAGAAATCGAGCACACCTTATAAACGATGCCCTAGTCCTAGGTCAAGCTCAACAACTAGATCACGTTGTATCCATGGAGATAATTCAGTATTTGTACAACGAAATTGAGTATATGCCATGGCAAGCCTATGAAGATGAGCAATACTACACAAAGTACATGTTATGGCGAACGTCTACGTATGGCTTGTTACAGGTCGGTCGCAGCACTAGCATTACAATTTCGCTCTTGTTTACACAATTTATGAAACGTGTTACGACGTTGCTTTTGGCGTTTTGACATTATTTCGAATGTAACATATAAGCTGTCTATCATTCCCAGAATTACATTAGTAATTTAGTGAGTCCGAATTATGCTTCATTGGGATGGAATTTTGACTACACGGAAGACATTGACTAGTAAGTACGAACAGTCCATTTTTCACAAACTTCAAAAGTATTAAGAGACACTGTCGTTTACACTTGTAATTTGTAGGCACGTAACAATTCCGTGTTGTCTTTGTATTTTGTATTCTTATGATTTACTATTTAATTTCAACAACTTTGCTTTAAGTTTTCGACGTTTAGATACCCTGAGAATAGCATGTGATTATAATCACGCCGACTGTGTTGCCAATGCTACAAATCAGTATGCTGCATGGATGGCTGACCCAGACAACAACAAGTCAGTACAAACTTTCTACCACTATATGCAATAAAGTGTTAGCATTTTACTAATTGTGCTTATCAACAGATGTATAATCCACATGGCCTAACATTTAAATGCACTTATCTAAATATTTATTTTTAGGATAGAAATAAATATGCGCAGTACCGTCTACTGTACAGCCATTCGCCATGGCGGAGAAAACGAGTGGAACTTTGCGTATAACCGACAGCGGATAGATCCCGAAGAACAAAACCGTTTACGATCAGCCATGGGTTGTACACAACTAAACTACTTGCTAACAGGGTGAGTAATTGAGTATTCCTTGAGTTTGTAACACTATGATGACTAGGTGTATCATTTCCAATAGTCCAGCTGGTGTTGAAAATATCAGCAAGAGAGACGTAGCGTAGTTAATACCCTAATAACGTTGCGTTGATATAATGTGTGTCTGACTGCAACAGGTACATGGAAGAAGCTCTAACAGGAGATGAATTCGGTGCACGAATTACTATTGGGTTCGTGCGAGATAACTCTGCCTTAGGATTCAGCCTAGCATGGACTTTCACAGTTGATAACTTCGTAGCGTTGAATACAATGTAAGTGTATATTGTATATTATTGTCTTTTCCTGAGTTGGTATTTGTAAGTATGAATTCTACTATTTTTTCCGAGAATCAGCACTCTGTACAAAAAATAGTTGAAAATATATACAGTGAATTGAGTCATGATTTTGAAATTAGTTAATACGGCGTTTTTTGTAGCTAAGTATTTTTATTATACATGAACAACCTAAAATTCCGTAATATGTTCAGTTTAGTAATTATTACATTGGTCATATTGCTCATTATACATCTGTTACAGCGTGCCGTAATTTTGCGGTATTTGACAGGGTATTTTCATCCTACCATATTAGGAAATGCGCATTCCAAATATGGAATGAATACGCACGTAAGCATCCTCTGATAATCAAAACAAACATGGCTGCCACCAGAGTTTGACCAGACTCCACACAAAAAAGTTCGCTGATTCTGTTCTAAACATTTTGAATTTTGACATACCCATGGTGTATCTTTGGAAGGAAAAAATGTATAATAATAAGGTTATTACAAAAATACCTC